TTGGAAAGCATATTGTTCCCGTTGTCCCCAAACCCACGTTGCTTTTTTGTCTAATAGTCTATGCAATGGTTCTGCTACCGTTGCTTTGTGGGGTAAAAAGACATTATAGAAATTGATAAGTCCAAGGAACGCCTGTAGGTCTGCCTTGTTCCTTGGAGTGGGGGCCTTTTTAATCGCCCTTAATTTGTCTTCGGTGGGATGGATTCCTTGGCTGTCCAGGAGATATCCCAAAAATTCTACTTTTTCGGTACATAACTGGCATTTATCTTTTTTAACTCTGAGGCCTGCGTTTTGGAATCTTCGTAAAACCTCTCTGAGTCGTTTTTCTAGGATGTCTTTGTTAGGGGCGGCGATGAGTACATCGTCGAAATATGGTACGACCCCTCTGATCCCTTGTAACAACCTTTCCATTAAGCTCTGAAAGATTCCGGGGGCAACGCTTACCCCGAACTGGAGCCGGTTGCATTTAAATGCGCCCCTATGCGTTACGATAGTTTGCGCCTCTGCCATGGTCGGATCTACAGGCAATTGCTGATACGCCTGGGCTAGATCTAGTTTAGCGAAAACTTTCCCGCCACCCAGGGAATGGAGCAAGTGTTGTACTACCGGCACTGGATATGCACTTTGCTGTAGTGCGTGGTTTAAGGTGGCCCGGTAGTCTCCGCAAATTCTTAGTGACCCATCAGGCTTGATAGGCGTCACTATAGGGGTTTCCCAGCGGGCGTGGTCGGTGGGTTCCAGCACGCCCTGCACTATTAGCTTATCGAGTTGTTCGTCGATTTTAGGCTTCAAGGCGAATGGCACCCGACGCGGCTTAAGGTGGATGGGTTCTATCTCAGGGTTCAAGTTAAACGAGATCGGGGTCCCCTTGTACTTGCCTAGTCCGTTCGCGAAAACGTCTTGGAATTCTTGCACGAGTGCCTCCTCCCAATCGTTGCTCTCGGCTCGGTGGACTCCGGCTACAGTAATTCCGAGCGGCCTGAACCATTGAAGGCCTAAAAGACTAGGCCTGTCACGGTCCACGACAGTCAGTGGTAGAGCGACGGTACGGTCCTTGAAAGAGATCTGGAATCTGCAGGACCCGACGACGGGAATTCGGTTGCCCTGATAGTCTTTGAGTATAACCCTTTGAGGGTTAAGGTCTTGGCGGCGAATCGTTGGAATGAGCTGTTGGAGCGTTTTCCACGACACCATCGAGAGGGAAGATCCCGAGTCTACCTCCATCACGCAAGGTTTGTTTTCGATGGCGACCTTTACTCGGATTTTCCCGGCATCAAGGGATGTAGCGTGGCCTATGGTGATTGTTTGGTGGGTCTCTTCCCGCCTGGTTTCTTCACGCCTGGTGGAAGTGGTGGACGGCTTGTTTCTGTAGGAGTGGTTTCCCCATTGGTGGTTCAGTTTTTCTTGGTGTGTGCCGAAGAATCCTGAAGATTGGCATTCGGCCTGTCGGGGTTTGGAGTTTTGTTTGCTTCTGCAAACCTTTGCGATGTGACCTCGTCTCCCGCAATTGCGGCAGAATGCGTCGAGGAATTTGCAGCTGGATCGTGGGTGATTCGCCCCACATCCTGCACACGGTCGGAATGAGGGTTGTGTGAACTGGTCTCGTTCCGTTCGGAGTCGGTTGACCTCTTCCTCATCACTTTCTGATGGGGATTCTAGGTCTTCGTGGTGAGTCGATACCGGGTGTCTCTCTGAGCGAGGCGAGGTATCATTGGCGAGTTCACGTAGCGGTGCGTTGGTGCGGCGCATTCGGGCTGCCGACTTCTTGGTCGCCTCCGCTGCCGAGGCTTCTTTAAGGGCATCGGTGAGGCTGATGTCCCCCTTAGCCATAATTTTGCTCTGGATCGTGCCGTCTTCTAGGCCCAGAACCAGGCGGTCCCGGAGGGCTTCTTCTAAGTCAGCGAATCCGCAGAGGCCTCCAAGGTTGCGGAGGTCCGCGATGTAATTGGCAAGGCTTTCGCCCTTCCGTTGGTCCCTCTGGTAATATTCGTGTCTTCTGACTAAGGTTGGCACGGTGGGCGCGTAGTGAGCCCGTAGTAACGGCTCGAGGACGTCCCAGTCCATCTCTTTTACCTCGGCTGGCTTGGCAAGTGATTTTGCCATTTTAAACACGGTAGGCCCGCAGTGAGTTAGAAAGATAGCTCTTTTTTTGCCGGTTGTTGCATCTTTCAAATTGTTGGTCTCCAGAAACGTCTGGAACCGATCCATGTATGCCTCCCAGTCTTTGGTTTCTGGGTTGAATGGAGCGGGTGGTACGGCACCGCTGGCCATGTTGCCGTTGATGGTGCGTGTTCGACCACGTGCTCTGTTGGTTGCTCTGTAACTCAGTCAGCTCTTCGGTCTCCGTATCCCACCCTCGTCGCCAGTGTTAAGTTTGGGGAATAATGGAGACCAGACATCTGACCAGTGACTTCAACTCTTTAATAATCATAAATAGAACAGAACAGAGCAAGGCTATGGGCAACAGCAACCCTTTTATAGGGTTATCTGCTACCTTATTAACCAATGACATGTGCAACAAGTTCAAACTTATAACCAATGAGAAGTGTCAAAATAGTGGCCAATCAGGGACTACTTATGGACCAATCCCTAGTTGTTGTATAAGGGCCAATCAGGTGTGCAGGTTTCCAAACCCTGATTTGCATTTATGCTAGTAACTTTTATTGATTCACAACATTCTCCACAACTTTTTCATTAGGAGCTGTGTGACAACTAAAAAGACCAAAGAAGTAATCTTTTTTTACTATGAGAGATGCAGCTAGAGACTTATGATTTAAATGGGGGTGCATGTTGGAGTCCTGACACTGTGAGGGAGTCAAAGGGAACCCTGTCACTTGATTATTTCTCTGGTGAAGTGCCACCTACAATAGCTTTTTTTTCATCATTGGCTTTGCTGTCTGAACCTTTGTCTCTACTTGACCATTGGACTGAGAATGGATCACTTTTAAGTCCATCTTGGAAATAAATTCCTGCATTGTTTGACTTGCAAACGAGACCTGATCTCAAATAAACTTACCTATATAACATTCTCCGTTTCTTTTTTTAAAATCTTTTTGATAGGCCTTGATACAATAGTGGGCTGCAAACAGTTTAACAACTGGTTCTGCGAGTGCATACTTGGCACTTGTGCGCAGCATTCAAAATAAAGCAATTTGAAGCTCAGCTGCTTACCTTCTAGGGCAGCCCCAGTAAGTAGAACAGCTGAGGCACGGAAATCAGCTGTGCCATGCGACTCAGCTGAGCCAGAAAGAAGGAAATATAGGACAAGATAGGGGAGGGCAGGTGGGCAGGGCCAGGTGATGATGGGAACCATCGGTTTGCTAGAATTGGTCCAAACCAGCATCAGCCCACCACTCCCTTGATATTAAATATATTACTTGATGGAACATGATGTTTTGAATTTTAATGATTTTTAAAACTACTGTTTTAACATGTTTTGGACCTGGAAAGCCGTATTTAAAAAGTTCTAATTAATGCATTCATTAACTTAATCAAACACAAACATTGTTATGATTCAAATCATGGCAAAAATAAAGGAATAGAGGATGCTGATTTGAAGGTATCTTTCTACATTTACATTTAGCCTCTCAAAAAATTTGGGAAATTTGGGATCTTTTTTATCAGTGGCTAGATGACAAAATACGATAATAGAATATTTAGAAAGTTAGATAGCAAGGAATACCTTTATTTTTTCTTTTGACTATGTTATTTGACATTATATCTATAAAGTGTTTTTAGGATAGATTTGGTATGATTATATGATTTGTTATAGAATAAACTGTTTAAAGTATTGTTATCTCATAAAGCATGAATGATTAAAAGTATAGTCAAATGATTTATTAATAGCGATATTAGGATATATAAGTTTGGATTGACAATATGAGTTGTTATGTAACATAACTGTAATTGAGACTACGAAATGAATGCACAAAACTGATGAACCAACCGACACACTGTACGTACATAAGAGAGTTGATGTTTTAATGTTTTGTTTGTTTTGTTTGTTTGTAGAAAATCAATAAAATTGTTTTTTTTTAAAAAATAAAATTGTTTTTTTAAAAAAAAACATCAGAAACTGTTTCAGGATTAACATCACCCATGAAGTGGTCTCATCCTGGCCAATGCAGCTGCAACAAAATGAACAGGGACACTGAATTAATCCAGGGAAGGCAGGAATGTTACTTTGAATTCTTGACTTAGTTTAGGTAAGTAGGGTGATTTTCCAGATGACTGCTAGGCAGGGGTGGGATTCTATTGGTTCGGACTGGTTCAGGTGAACTCCTAGCTCCGATGATCAGTTGGCTCCGAACCTGTCACTCCAACGATCATGTGGGGCCGCCAGCCCATTCCTGCGCTGTACTCACCTATATCTGCTCAGCTGATTTGTGTGGCAGAGTGAATTGCCATGCCTCAGCTGTGTTACTTCCTCGAAGTAACATCGAAGGTAATTTCAAAAACTGCTCATGCATGCACAGCACACATCTGGCATGTGTGCACGCAAAGCACATGATTAGCAAACTGGTTGTTACACAGGCAGCATCCCACCACTGGTGGTAGCCCTATCGTATTCCTACACTGTATTTTATTTTATTGCGTTTCTGCTACTTTCAGTCTCCTTGAAACATCAACACGAGCTGCAAAGTCAACCCACTTAAATGTTTTAGAAATTCTAAAACAGAAAACAAATGAGACAGAAAAGCATCAGCGTTTGGGGGACGCAAAAATAAGTTACTAGGAAATTCTTACAGTGGTATCAGAACGAGCTTAAGGACACATTGCCACTATTGGGAAAAGAGCCTACAGAAAGAAACCATAAGGGAGAAGAATCTCAGGTCCATAGATCATTTATTTGTTATCCTTCTTGCACAATTCATTTGATGGACCAGCCCTCTGTTTTTCCAGAACCAGAAACATTACTCTGTCTCTGGAATCGATCCATCGTTTTACCAGTCAAAGGACTGGCTACCGTATCATCCTGGCTCTTTAATCCTCTAGATGAGTCATCTTTCTGGTCCATCATCTCCCTGTCTGCTGTTGGAAGATTTCTCTAGAATGTTAGATGAGTCTTCTTCACTGGAGTCATTAGATGCCACCACTTCACTCTCTGCTTCCCCATTCTTGCCATGGACCAGTGCCACCTCTGTTGTTGTCCCACTATGTAAACTCAGTGGTCCCGCAAGATCACTTTCTTTTCCACCAGGTTGGGGTTTCTTGGTACCAGCTTGTAATAACTTTGGTAGAAGAGAAAGTTCTTTTCCCAGTGCCTTTGAACTATTGGAGACTCCAGTATCTTTCCCACTGGAAAGTGTCCTTCCCTGGACAAGCATTGTTTCTTCCTCTGCTTTTCTATTATTTGATGCAAATTCTTTTAACTCAATCATATTGGATGTCCCCTTTTTAGATTTCTTCCCAATGGCCAGCCCTTTTGGCTGGTTAGATGTCCTCCTGGCCAGACTAGATGGACCTTCCTCTGCATTTCTCCTTGCTTCTGATCTTTTTATCCAAAATGATGGACCTTCTTTCCCATGTTTCCCTGTTACTTTGCTTGATGACTCCACCTCTCCCAATGCTAGAACGACTTCTCTGCGGCAATGTTGATCTCCAATAACGTTGAAGATAGAGATCCAGCTATCTCCACGCCCAGAAACCATCTTGAAGTTCTTCCCATCACAGTCAATGAAGACAGTGGCATTGGCCCGGTGTTGTGGGGACAAAGCATTAAACTCCTGCAAAGCTCGCTTGAGGCAGGCTCGGAGGTCTACTGTACATCCTTTGAAGTCTTCTGTTTCTTTCCATAGTTTCATCAAGTTTTCCGTGGTGAGCAACATTGTGCGATAGCTCAACCTGTCTAAATAGACATCCATGGAAGAAACTCGAACCCGATAGTGAGGTTGCTTATCAGAAAAGAAGATATGGATACGGGACCTCCCCTTTCCAGAAATGAAATCTAAGCAAGAGTTAGCACACTCAATAGTCAGTTCAGCATTGCTCTTCACCGAAGGAGGTTCCTTCTCAATCTCTGTTATAGACATATCCAAGCAAGCCCGCAGTTCTTTGGTACTGTTGTCCCATTTAGCAAGCTCCTGTCTCACTTTCTCCAAGTTCTCAGAGGTTAGTGGAGGTGGAGAAAGAGACAATCGATCTAAGTACACTTCCAAGGTGGAGATCTCAATATGGTAGTGTGTTTTTCCTTTTAACCAAGAAACTACAATTTTGTTTTCTCCTCCACCAGAGATAAACTCCATTATCTTTCTTCCTCTCACCTGAATAATCAAGGTGGCATTATCTTGTAGACAGCGAGGCTCATGATGGAACTCTTGGGCAGCATGATCTAAGCAAGCCCTCACCATCTCGTCAGATTCCCGATTCCCGATCTGCAAACTGTTGCGTGCTGACTGTAAGTTTTCTGTACTTAGTGGTGTTGGCGGTATGTTTTTGGGGATGCAGGCACCCATACGAGGAAAGACCAAGGATTATGGAAGCAGGACTGAACATGTCTTCCCATGCAATGGCATTAAATATTCGAAATCTGGAAAAGAAAGAATGCATATGAGGATGTGAGATGTTTCGTACAAGTTGTGGTCTGGTTTGCTGGTCAACCTAATGGTCCATGGTTTCACAAGAGAGTAACCAAGTCTGAAAGGTAACTGTCAGGATTCCAGCAGTTGCCCTAATTAAATCATGAGCCTTGAGCCAAGCTTCAAAAACTTCAAAGGATTTATTAGGCGCGAACATGTTCAGCATGACCTGTATGAAGCCGATTCTGAGACACGTAATTCACTGTCATCCTTGGCCCTGGTTTTCCTGAACCCCTCTGGGTGTATCATAATTCATATTCTCCAACGAAACACATTCCTAGTCAAGAATCATCAATCATGTTCTCCAATTAGAGATTTGCGTGGCAGAAATTCCAGTAGCTTAGTTATAATCTTTGCAAGATAAGAATGGAATGCACTTTCGGCTCCAAACTGCTGCACTGCTCTTTCAAATTTCTCCCCCCTTCTGTTCATGGCAAATCTAAAACAGGCATAGAAATGTTTTATGACAGTAACAGGGGAAATATTAAGAATCTGGATTCACAGCAATATGCAGTTGTTCGGAGATATACTTATCTTAGTGAAATAAAAATTCAGGTTGTTGGAGACACAAAGCAGAAGATGAGGCTAGAGGAGAGATTGAAAATGTATAAGGACTAAAGAGATGGTGTTATGAAGGAAGGTCCTGGTCCAATGCTGTTTATGTAGTACATAACCAGTTTAAGGAGGTATGGATTATTAATTTGGGTGGCTTTAAAATGGGAATAGCATAACAGAAGAGATCTTGGAGGTCTTGGAAGGGACCTTGGAGGTCTTCTAATTCAATACCCTGCTCATGAAGGAGACTTGTGTAGAAATGCCTAGAAAAGTCAGGTTATCAACAGTTATTACTTATGTATATGTATATAATTATGTCATCAAATACTAGTATGACAGTGCATTGCAAATTGTTCATGGAAAAAACAGCTGGTCCTTTGCATTGTTTTAGAGAGTTGAGGTAGCCTCAACAACTCTCTAAAAGAAGGCAAATGACCAGCTGTCGGCAAGGAGTATAAATCCTTCCATTCCCCACCATCCAGTCAGAGCTGCAGAAGCTTCTTGAATGAGAAGCGAAATGTCTTCAAAGGAAAACCCAAAAGTCCAGTTGCCTCTTGAAAAAGCACCTTTGGGACAACCATCACCTGGATGACTGAGAACCTCCATAGACATTAAGCCACCCACAGTTATATGTATGAGAGATGGGTGAATATAGAAATTGATTGAATGAATAAATAAACAAGCAAACTGAACAAATTGAAATTTGTTGGTAATTAGATAAATGTTCCAAAAGCTGCTAAAATATTTGTGGAGTTTTAAACAAAAAACCACTTCCATAGAGTCACATCTGTAATTTTATTTATTTATTTATTTATTTATTTATTTATTTATCTATCTATCTATCTATCTATCTATCTATCTATCTATCTATCTATCTATCTATTTATTTATTTATTATTTATTTATTTATTTATTTATTTATTTATTTATTTATTTGTTTCCCCCCTTCATTGTTTTTATAAATAACTCAAGGTGGTGAACATACCTAATGCTCCTCCCTTCATCTATTTTCCCCAGAATAAATACTTCATAAGGTGACAGAGAATGACTGACCCAAAGTCACCCAGCCAACATTCATGCTTTCAACATTCATGCTGTCATTTAAAATTATCCATAAAAACACAGAAATCAAAGTGAGAAAATACTTTTACTGCAGCCTAATCAATATTGAGGGAAAGAGATTCCTGTGGAATTTCAGGTTGAGGTTTTTACAGCTTCACCTGGAAATGTTTGTAATTGAATTGGTTATTGGTAATCAGACTTTTAATCAACCTTATAACCATCAACTCATCTTAAGCTAATTAACCCAGACCTTCAAACAGGGGTGGACAATAAATATTCACAAGCTGCCACATGAGAAACTGGTACTGTTATGAGGGGCCAAATCAATAGGGCTGTGAGGGTACATAGGTACACACACATAGACACATTGAAACAAAAAATACGGGTAGCAATTGGCTGCAAAATAAAAATAATACATTTGTTTATTGTGCATGGTGTACACTTATTTACATTTGATTTCTAATTTCCAATTGATCTTATTGCTTTTATCCTTGTCATCTTCTCATCTTTCTCACCTCATCTTTCCTACTACCATCTCCTATTGGTATATTATGATTCATCAACTGTTGATTATATCTTATGATTTATGATTATTATCTATGACATCACTTTGTTGTTTGTATGTATGCTGAGGGCTTATGCACTGGAGACAAATTTATTGTGTGTCTGACCACACTTGGCCAATAAAGAATTCTATTCTATTCTATTCTATTCTATTCTATTCTATTCTATTCTATTCTATTCTA